TACCTCTACAAACTCCCTACCTTCCGATCTCAGGCGTCAGCCCCGCCTGCCCAGGCACACTGAGGGCACTGTCCCCCACGCCCACAGCCTCTGTTAGAGCCCCGCTCTCCTGGGTGGCATTTCCCTGCTCCCTCTCTGTCTCCTAACAGCTTGCAGAATATGGAGGGCAGGACCCCAGGGCCCAGCCCCTGCTTGAGTGAGTAGAGGTCCTCCCTGTCCCACCTCCTCCCTCGCCACATTGCCCACTGCCTTTGACCTCTGCATAACTCTGGTCCCTCAGTTCTTCCCGATCCTCCCGGGCTGTCAGAATCTCCACGGACGAACATTTATTAGGTGCCCTGGATTGTACCTGATGCCCTTACATATATATATATCATCCGGTTTAATCCCTGCCCAGCCCTGGACCTAGTTTGATTATCCCGTTTTTATTCCCAGCCTCGAGGGGTAAGGACTCGCCCAAGGTCACAGAGGCAGAGTTAGTACGGACGTCAGTGCCCTGATTGGGCATTCTTTACAAACTGTGCCATCACTCCCTGCAGATTCTCGCGTCACCCTCCTCTCGACGCCCTAGCCTGAATTCCACGGCCAGCAGTGTATACATGTGCCCATGACACTGGAGGCAGCTGCATTCTTATTAAATTTTTTAAATGTCTATTCATTTCTGAGAGAGAGAGAGAGAGAGAGCACAAGCGGGAGAGGAGCAGAGACAGAGAGAGGGAGAGGGAGACACAGAACCCGAAGCGGGCTCCAGGCTCTGAGCTGTCAGCACAGAGCCCGACGCGGGGCTCGAACTCACAAACCGTGAGACGGTGACCTGAGCCGAAGCCGAAAGCTTAAGCGACGGAGCCACCCAGGCGCCCCAAGGCAGCTGCATTCTTTCTGCCTGCCCTTGCTCCTGCCCTCCCCTGGGGCCAGCCGGCAGTGCCCCTGACATCCTTCTCCACGATAAGGCTGAGGAACTCTCCTAAAGAAAGTCACCCAACTGGGACTTCTTCAGAAAGATGGGAGATTGACCACATGCCCACTCTAAACAACAGGAATGAAAAAGGATAGCAAGAGAGAGAGTGGGAGAGAAGACCGGTGGAAGAAAGACGTAAGAGATACACATAGCTCAGAAGCTGAGGGGCTGGAAACGTCCGGTCCCTGGTGGTAAGACTCTCTTCCCGTCCCCAGGCTGCTGTCATCCCTTCAAACCTGGCGAAGGAGCCTGCTTTTGCGAAAGGGAGTCAGTCTGCCCTCCCACTCCTTGCCTGGAGCTTACTGATCCAGAAAAGCGGGAGCTGCCCTGTCCTCTGGACAGTCATTTCCAGGAGAGCTAATTCGTGTCCCCTCAAGTCGGAGGGCCTACACGAAACCAGAGATGGGGGAGCTCCCCCTCAGGAAGGAAGTCGGCGGGAGCCATCCACGATGGCAGGGCGGGGGCTGGGGGTGGTGAGAGTCTTTTTGACGAAGTGGACCCTGCTGTCTTGAAGTCACCCCACGTGCTAAGGTGAGGGGACCCCTGCAGAGAGAGCCCGGGGAGTGACCTGCCAGGGACAGGGTGCGGAGAGATCACAAAGACAGTGCCTAGAGCATGAGAAGACACGCGTGAGCCCCTGAGGCACCTGCGTTTGAACATCTGCCCTACAGAGGACAATGACCATGAATACAGCCCCTGTTGTGCACTTATCTCTTTCCTCGCACGGCCCCTCTCCTGCCTAGGATCTAGAAGATCACCGAGCAGGTAGACGGACAAGAAAGGGCAAAGGTCAGAATACTAGCCTGAGCCGGCTAGCCACCGGGGAGAAGCTGCGAACTAGACGTGAGATCAAGTTTTAAACTGGCCTGGACTGGATTTTTTTCATGCCCGAAAGTGCGTCTGAATGATCAAAATGAGACTTTTTTCTTAGAACTAAGACTGGCCGCAAAGAGATGGAACCTGCCCAAGATAACGTCACGAGTCAGCGAAGGAACAGCTGACAGGGCGGGTCTGAAGAAAAATGGACCCCATTCAATGAGCCATCTGTTCACAGAATGTAGAACTAGGGAGGCAGCTACCAGAAGAAAGAGCTGAGAGTCCAGCGTCATGGCATCTGGGGAAGGAACTGGGGGCTGAAGGGAGCTGAAATTGCCGACTGACTCTTCCCCACAGACCTTTTGGTTGTCACGTAGTCGTTAACCACACGCATCCATCGCAGTAGTGACATTTCGAAGAAATGTTTCAAGGTCAAGCCGTGAAGCACCATTTCCTAGTTACATGACAGAGTCACGCCATCTGGCATCAGCTGGGTCCCCACGGACACTTGGGCATCCCGGTGACTGCCAAAGACGGTCTCCAGCACCTGCCGAATTTGGAAGGTCTCCAAGCCACCTACCCGGCCTCACTCTTAACTGGTAACTGCTCTCACCATCCATGTTGGGTATGGCGCAGTGGGTAAAACGCAGAGGCTCCGGGGCCACACAGGCGGAGTCAAATCCCAAACCGCCACTTGGTAGCTATGTGGCCTAGGGCAAGTTACTTCCATTCTCTGAAGCCTCTGTTCTCCCCTCCCTGCCCCCCACCCCCCACCCCCCACGTCTTCAGCGCCCAAGAGACTCACACCCATCTTTCAGGGTCGTAAAGATTAAATGTGATGATTCCAAGGTGAGACCTGATCCTTCCTTCACAGTGAACTGCCTGGCCCTTAACCAGGTGATTTCAGTCTCTTCCTCTTCTAGCTGCCTTCTCTTCCCTCCCTCCCCAATCACTTGTCCCTTCCTAGCTTCAGTCCCTCTGGTTCCTGTCTGTGATGCCCCACAAGTCAGAACATCACATACCCTCCCTGACTCTGTCTTTGCTGTCCAACCACGTTATCACTTTGCCCCTGCCCACCGCAGCCCAGCGCTGTGGAAGAGTCACCTCGTGGAAGGCTCCATTTTTCAGCCTCTCTTCAGTCCCTCAACCCCCTGCCACTTCACTGAGGCTACCTCCAGGCCACCAAGGCCAGTAGACTCTTCCCCAGCATCACCTTTCTTGCCTTCAACCTTGACCATGCTCTTGTCCTGAGCTCCTGCCTCTCAACACTTTGCCTTCTGATTTCTCTGCTTCTCTGACATCTCTTTGAGGGTCTCCTCTGATGGGGGTTAAGGCTAGGGTTCCAGACGCTCGGCCCTGGGCTCTTTCTCATTATTACATCTACATCCCATCCACTTTCTTCAAGGGAAAATCCCACCCACTCCACCCCTTCAAGGACCCCCCGAAACCCTCAACTTCCAGCCCGTCAGACCCGTCACTGCGCGTGCCCTGTTTGCTCACCAGATATAGAAGATGAGGGGGAACACGGGTGCGCCACCCACCAGAAACAGCAGCCTCCAGTGGGGAAGGCTGTTGGCAAGCCCTGTCAGGAACATGACTCCCACAGAGAAAAAGCAGTGCTCCAAGATGATGGCATGGGACCGGTGCTCAGCCACTAGCCACTCAGTGGCTGTGCGGAGGCCAAGAGGACAAAATCATGGTCAGCTCAGTGTCCCCAGGGCTACCCCTGTACCCAGACTTCTGAGATGCCCCAGCCCGGCTCTGGACAGTTCAGCCTGGGTGAACGTTCTTCTGCCCTAGGTGGACGTACTAGATAGCCTCCGGTCCTTCCTCAGCCTGACTGCTCCCTCTGAACACATCCTGCCTCACCCCATGTGTCTCTCTCAGAGATGGCCCATTTCTGGGTACAAGTCCTCACACGTGGTCTGACACAGAGTGAGGCGAGGAATCTGTGTCCTTGTGTTTGTTTTTAGTGCCTCGGGGCTTTGGCCACCCTGGCCTCGGGCCCTGGGGAGAATCTAGCTCCTTCTGATCCGCTCCAATGAGAGGAGGTCTCTGGCCGGGGACCCCTGAGCTCACTGGGCCACAGCAGCTGTAAGCTCGATGAGCATATGGGCACTTAGGGCTTTCGCATTCCACAGGCCAGGGATGAAATCCCAGCTCCTTCCTGTAACTGTTGTGTGGCCCTGAGCAAGTTGGTTACCTTCCTGAGGCTCAAGTATCCTTCTCAGTTAAAGGGATAATAGATGAGCGCCTACTGAACAGGGTGCTGTCATGACACGCTGAGACAGTATGTAACGGGGTTAGCAGCCCGCCTGGTCCTTCCGAAGGGCTCAATAAATGTAAGCCACGTAGGGGGGATGCGAGAGAGGTAAGGGGGGTAATGCGTGCGGTACGAGGGGCCTAGGGTGGAGGATGAGTCTGGAAGGGCGGTCTGCGGACATTGGCCCGCATCGCCACAGGCAGCTGGGAAGAACCTCTTCCCTCCACGGCCTGCCTGGATTGGGCCTCTCAACTCTACTCGTCCTGCAGGGTCCCTAAGTACCCGCCAGCCCCGCCCCACCCCACCCCACGATCGCCCCGCCCTTCGGCCGGCCCCGCCCCTCCAGGCCCCGCCCTCTGCTCCCCACCCGCCCCGCCCCTCACAACACCTGCACGGCCAGGGCTCACCTAAAGACACGCTGCTGATGGTGTAGCCCACCAAGGCCTGGGACACGCCGAAGCGGAAGAACAGGTACTGGTGAAAGGTGTTGACGAAGGCTGTCCCGAAGCCGAAGATGATCAGCCCCAGCAGCGACATCAGGATGGTGGGGTAGCGGCCCAGCCTGCGGGCGGTCGAAGGGAGGCTGCGCCTAGCCTAGCGCGAGGGCCTCCCTGGCTCGCCCAGCACGACACCCAGGGCCAGGCCTTGAGTGCCCCTACCCTCTCCTTCCCCAGCTTGAGCCTCTAGCTCTGAATGCACTCACTTGTCACTCATGAGTCCGAAGATGAGGGACCCGGTCAGGACGCCCGCGGTGAACATGGTCTGCATGCTCTCCGAGTTCTGCTCCTTGCCACACACCAAGTCAAACTGGGGGGTTTATACAGGATTGGCTACAGGTCTCCACCCAGGGCCAGCCTTCTGGGTCTAGAGACTACACCCCCTCTACCCCGCCCCCAACCCCCAGGTGGGCCTTTAGGCAGAAGAGGCCTGGGTCAGGGACAGGCAACCGGGCCTGCAGCAGCGTGCCTCAGGTGTCACCTCTGCATTCTACCCGGCACCTGGCAGACTCTGGGAGTGAGGCCTGGAGAGAGGGGACCAGAGGCCCAGGCCAAAATGGGGAAGAGGCCGAGAGGGAACTGAGCAAAGACGGGAATCACTGAAGACCCTTTCCCAAGTACAGATATCAGGCCTCAGTCTAGAGATTCCAGTTGGGCAGGTCTGTGCAGTGAAGGGCCCCGCTTGCAGCTCGGGCTGAGAAACCCTGTAGGAGGAGCCCGATGAAAGCTGCTTCTTCCCCGGGGTTCTCCATCTTGTGTGAGTTCAGGGGGCAGGGCCTCGACTACAGAAGCAGCTCCCTGGACAGATGGCAAGGCCTGCCGCCTGACATTTGCCTCTGCACCCAAATCCGCTCCCGCTTCCCGGAGAAGACAGCTGAAGCCAGGGCTGGACAACAGGACCCTGAGGTTCTGCCCTCACTCTGCCTCTGCGGGGTGACCTCGGGCCAGTCCCTTCCCCTCCCCGGGCCTCAGTTTCCCCACCTGCTCAATGAGGGTGAGGGCACATCTCTGGGCCTGTGGGTAGCTATAGACAACTCAGGAGAAGGCACACCTCATTGACCAGTGATCGCTTCTTGGTGTCAGGGTAGATCCACCCATCTTGGCACGACTCTGTGTGGTTGAGGCCAAACTGGATGATAGAATCCAGGTCCCAGGCTACGGGCAAGTACATGAGGCACGTCTGGAAACTTCCATTGGGTTCTCGGGGCAGGGTCAGGTTCATCTGCTCAGCCTCTGTGAGGTTGGGGCCCACTGCTAGGATCCAGCTGGTATTACAATAGGGCTTCTGGGCTGTGAGCACGAAGACGTCGGCAGAGATAAGGAAGGCCCACAGGATGTTGGGGATGAAGGTGAGGACCACCAGTCTCCGCTGGAATGTGCCGAACTCCCCCACCGCATCCAGGACGTGGGCAAACTTGTCATCCTGGTTGGCTTCTGTGGCCCTCAGTCTGCGTAGCAGCATCTCCAGAGACCAGGAATTGGAGTGTTCTTGTGCCTCGCGCTGGTGCAAGTTCTTGGAAGGGTGGTGGGATCTGTGTTTTACCTTGCAGTTGCTTTCTCCTGACATCTGTTCCAAGAAAGGATGCCACTCAGGGACTGCTGCTACCACTTCCCAGACACGAGAGACTGGAATGGGAGCCACTGGTCAGAAATGGGCCTCTCTGTCTTGCAATAGTTTGGATTCGGCCTTGATGTTCTCTGTAGCTCCCTCCTTAGCTTATGAAGTTTCTCAGTCAACATCATTTGTCCCCCATGAGCCCCACCCACCCCTGATTTTCAGTACGCTGAGGGTTTTTTAAACATTTGAGAAAGTGTCACTTCTGTTGTCATGAGTAAGTTCTGAGAAGCTTTGGTCTCCCACAGCTTTCCCAGAACTGAAACTTTGTTGACACACACAGGGAGGCACTGACAGTCTTGCAAAAGTACGAGAGGTCTCCAGGGACAATTCCTTCAAAAACAAACAAACAACACCCCCTCCCCGCAACCCCCCCCCCCCCCCCCCCATATCTGGACCAAGAGTTGCCAGGAAACTGAGGCCAAGGTAGGTGGCTGGAAGCCTTGATCACAGAGATAGGGAGCCAAGCCTGGGCACCAGCAACATAGAGCCAAACTGGAAAGGCAGGTAAGGGAAGGCAGTGCGGGGCAGGGACGGGGGGGTGGGTAGCAATTCTGACTGTAAGGAGATTTATTACCTTGGAACAGCAGCGAGGTGGGAAACGATGCTTAAAACTGTGTTGAGCTGAAATCCTCAGTGGAGCTGAAAGAGCTCCTGGGTTGGGCCCCAGCAGAAGCAGAAAGAAGCCTTCTCTGTTAAGCCTGCACAGATTACAATCAAGCAAAGAGTTCAAAAAGAAAGATTACGAAAGTCGTGAGAAGGCAATCCATTCTGAAACAACAGCTCCTGGCTGCAGGTGTCGGAACGGTCAGTTACGCGGTATAGAGCCACTGTCATACACAGTTCTCAAAGCAATGAAAGTCGTAATTACAGGGTGGACCCACGACAAGAATTGACAAAAAGCAGACATTTTCGGAGGGCAGACGCTGAGCTTCTAAATGAAACAGAAACACTAAACGGAAGACTGCTGAGTCAGATTTGATGCAAAGAATTAGGGAACTGGAACATATAGCCAAAATGTGAAACAGAGGCCCAAAGACTCAAGAGATACAAGGTTTCCCATGCATGGAGACATAGAGAAGCAAAATCTCAAGAGAGAAAAGCAATGCATTTTCTAAAACTTGGAAAACATGAATCCATAGTCTCAGGAAATAGTACGTCCCAAGCAGGATCAATAAAAAAGAAACCCACGGCTACGCACATTGCAATGAAGCTATAGAAGGCATCAGTGACAAAGGTCTTCGAAAACGTCTAGAGAGAAGACAGATCACTGACGAACGACCGGCGGTGGTCGCCTTCTGTTAAACAAAAGTGGATAATCAAGAAGGAAACCAGAAGAGAGTGAAAGTCTTTAGGAAAAAAGAAAATAATAGCCAAGCTAGAATTGTTGACTCATCAAAATTATCTGTCAAGAATGGGGTAAAATCAAGACAGGTATAGCTGGTCAAAAATTGAGGGAGCATTCATGTAAAAGACCTGATTTAATGGAGTTTCTAAAAAAGTAAGGAGGAGGAAAACTATTGCAGGAGAATAGCCTCAGAAACAATGAGCAATCAAAAAAGGTAAACATGTAAGCCAATCCAAATATTGATTGTCTTAAATAATAAAGATCCTGTCCATTTGTGGAATTAAAAAAAAAAAAAACATGACAACACGATGGACAACAACAAAATATGTCAGGAAGGGGACAATCAGAGCCAAAATATCCCTTTCTATTGTTTGGGATGTAGGACAGAGAAACCAAAAATTCAAATTTACATATGCATGATAAACTTTAAAGGACAACCACTCCAATGATATACCCAGAGAACAGTAGTGGGAAAAGGTGGATGAAAGGGGAAAACAAATACAAACCGTCAATCCAAAAGAAGTTAAGGAAAGAGGAAAAAAAACAAAAAAACAAAAGGGTGGCAATCATTGAGACTGGAAAAATGAGACACAGTACATTGATTATCACTAGTTTAAAAAGAGGTGGTTGGATTGAGCCTTTTAAAAGTCAAATTCATACGCTGTTTTTCCAGAGGGTGACCAGTATTTTCCAATTCTCCCAGAACACACCCAGTTCACGTCTGTTGTGCTGGTATAATGACTCATAGTGTCCCCTTAACCCCTCATAAAAGTTTTGATTTGTATGACCATTTGGTCACCCCGAGAGAAGGCACGTGTAAAGCATAAGCATGAAAGGTTGAGGGTAAGAGGATGGAAAAAGTTACATTAGGCAAACATTCATTTAAAAAAAGCTGATTTAGGGGCGCCTGGGTGGTTCAGTTTATTGAGTGACTGATTCTTGGTTTTGGCTCAGGTCACGATCTCACGATTTGTGAGTTTCAGCCGCGCATCAGGCTCTGTGCTGAGTGTGAAGGCTGCTTAGGATTCTCTCTCTCTCTCTCTCTCTCTCCCCCCCCCCCGCCTCCGTCTCTCAGTTGCACTCTCTCTCTCTCAAATAAAATGAAAGAAACAAAGAAAGCTGACTTAGCTACATTACTATCAGACAAAATAAAAAGATAACGCATCATTTGGAATAGAGGGATTCCTTATCTAAAGATAAAAGTTCAGTATACCACAAGCGTGAATTTTAAATATATATGAACCTAACAAATGTCTTCAGATATGGAAAGCAATAATCGGTATAACAGGAGAAATTGACAGCTCATCAATATCATGATGAGAAATTTCAATGCACCTTTTGTTTTATAAGTTTATTTATTTATTTATTTGCTTATTTTGAGAGAGAGAGAGAGAGCGAGAGCACACGTGAGTGGGGGAGGGGGGCAGAAGGAGGAAGAAGACAGAATCCTAAGCGGTCTCCATGTCAGTACAGAGCCCAACCCAGGGCTCGATCCCACAAAAGGTGAGGTCATGACCCGAGCTGAAATCGAAAGTCGGATGCTAAGCCACTCAGGCACCCCTTCAAGGGGTCAAATATACAAAAACTTAGTAAAGATATAGATTGTTTGAATCACACAATTAATGAGATTTTTCTAATGGCCATTTGTGAAAGTCTGCATCTAACCACTAGAGAACACCCATTTTTCTCATGCCTCCTGGGAGCATTTGCAAAACTTTATCATGTACTAGGCAATAAAGGAAGCCTCAACAAATGTCAAAGAATAGTCAAAATTGTCTTGTGACTACCACACAATTAAATTAGAAGTCACTAACAAACAGCTTAATGGCTTAATTTAGAATTCTTGTATATTTTGGGGGGTGCACGGGTGGCTCAGTCATTTGAGCATCTGACTCTTTTATTTTTAAAAAAATTTTTAAATGTTTATTTATTTTTGAGAGAGAGACAGAGACAGTGTGAGCGGGGAAGGGCCAGAGAGTGAGGGAAACACAGAATCAGAAGCAGGCTCCAGGCTCTGAGCTGTCAGCACAGAGCCCGACTCGGGGCTCAAACTCACAAACCGTGAGACCATGACCTGAGCCGAAGTCGGACACTTAACTGACTAACCACCCATGCGCCCCAAGCATCTGACTGTTGATTTCAGCTCAGCTCATGATCCCAGGGTCGTGGGATTGAGCCCCACACCAGGCTCTGAACTGGGGGCATGAAGCCTGCTTAAGATTTTCTCTCACTCTCCCTCGGCTTCTCCCTCGCTCATGCATGTGCTGGGGCGTGCTCGCTCTCTCTCTCTCTCTCTCTCTCAAAAAATAAAAATAAAAAAATAAAAGAATTCTTGTATATTTTCCATACATTTGTAATACAGTTGTAGTTACTTGTCAGAATCTGCCTTCTATCCTGGGACTTCTTGGTCTCGTAAATGATTTTTTTTTTAATTTACGTATGTTAAGCTTCACTCTTTGCTCTTTAAAGTCCTATGGGTTTTGACAAATGCACAGGGTCATGTACCCACTATGACACCATAGAGTATCATGCCAAAATTTCACTGCCCTAAAAAAAATTCCCGTGTTCTACCTATTAAATCCCTTTCCCTCCTCTCACACCCCTGGCAACCATTGACCTTTTTACTGTATATCTTACCTTTCCAGAATGCCAGATAGCTGGAATCATAGAGTATAGAGCTTTTCCAACTGGCTTCTGTCACTTAGCAATATGCACTTTAAGGGTGATCCATAAATTTTCATAGCTTGATAGCTCTTTTTTTTTTTTTTAATTTTTAA